CAGGGTTTTCATTCATTTTGCTCTAGGTTAAGTCACAGCGGAAAGGAAGCACACTTCACTCAGACAGTTTAGCATGTGATCAGCAAAATGGCGCTTTTTCTTTTTTTTCCTTAACACACTGCCCTTGTCACTGTTTCTCAATATGGCTCTGCCTGTGCATACAAAATGTGACATAAACGCGTCCCCTCCCGGCTGTCTGGATGAAGGAAGGCCGAACACGAGTCTGCGTGTTCATTGGCAGAGATCATCGCTGTTCCGACCCTTCCCATCGAGGCCGCCTCCAGTTTGAGAGGCAGCTTGTAAAGCAGAGGTTTCTGCCATTACCCAAAGCACTCTCAGCCTGAGAACTACTGGCAGGTTAGCAACCCTTTCAAAGAACAGCCTCCTTTCGTTTTAGTATGAATTCCTAAATTAATCAGAAATCTCACCGAGGTTCCTTTTATACTCTTCCTGAAACGTGCACACAGCTGTGCAATTTCAAATGGCCCAAAACACAAGTGGGATTTGCAAGACTGAATATCTGACCTGAGACTGAAGTTCGTGGGGCTCCCCACGGCCTGGAACAGGGGTGTTTGAGCCATGAGTGGGTCCTCTGTTTCTGCTTCCCTAAGCAGAGCAGGGCTTCCAAAGACTCAGAGCCAGAATCTGTCCGGCAGCGCTTCCTGCCTTCCACATGAGTGGCAAGAGCTCTCAGAGCACACAGATTGGTGGCTGCTGCAACCCTTGAGCTCCATGAAAGCGCCAGTGAATTGATGACACGGTCTTTATCCTTTCACAAGCCCCACTTTCGAGGGCTCTCGGACAATCTGGCGCTGTACCGGGCCCTTGACAATGGCCCTACATCTGAGTTTTATGTAGCAGTTCTAAGAGCTATTCAGTCCCTGGTGACAGCCAAATCCTTTGCCAGTGAGCCACGCTTTGACAGTGCTCTGTACCGGAGGTGGGGATTCTGAGAAATGTGCAGACTGAAGCCCAGAGACTGCTGGACAGCAGGAGGGAAATGACACTGAACACAGCTGAAGGGCAGCACACACACAGGGAGGATTGGGATCAATCTTAACAAATGCGCAAGTTGGGAAATTTGAGATTCATAAAGTAGTTTGAGGTTTCCGTTACTAAAGAAGTTCTCAGGATATCTTACAAGGAAAAAAATAGAGCGACAGAAATTAAAAATATTAAAAGTGTATCATTTCACTGTAAATTCAGAGTCTGAGCTGTCCCAGGTAGTTCCAAACATTTCACGTTTTAATTGGCTTCCCAGTCAGATATCTGGCAGTCGACAAGTCACATTTGCTTAATCTTATATTGATTTTCTAAAAAATACTTCTGGTTTCTATGACAACCCTAATCAATTAACTCCTTGCAAGCAGCAAAACAATTTTTTGCTTTTTCTCTCTCCAGTGAAGCCTGAATACTTTCTTCCCAGAAAAATAAGTACAGATTCTTACCTGGAGAAACTATATTACATTGGAAACAATGGTTGATGTCTTTTGTATTCTTAAAACATTTGGCCAAGAATCAGCAGAAGTAACAAGATTCAAGGAAGACACTGGAGTCCAACAACCTGGCTCAAGCCTTACTGTCTGCTAAGGAAATCTGCCTCAGCATATTAAATTCTGGGTTTTTATTTCCCTGTCGTATAAAAGGGCATTAATATGTGGTCATCTCTAGGATGCACTGGGAATTCTCTAGATTCGACCTCTCTTTCCTTCCATACAAATCTGTGGAAAATCTACCCAAAAGACCTCTCCAAAGCAGAACAGAATCAGGATACGTTCCTGTTCCAGACCTGCTATGTGTGACTGCACAGGCCAAAGCACAGGGCACACAGTCTTCCGCCCTGTACATGTGTTGTTAGCCTGCCTCTCCGGCTCACCTCCAGTTATTGCCCTAGTCTACTTCCCCGGTAGCCATCTCAAGGCAGGTCTGTTATATGCTCCCACCCTGCTCGAGTTCTACCCCTGTCCTGAGTGTTTTCCCCAATGCCCCCGTGCATAAAATACTCTCCCTGTCCCTGTCCACTTGGTCACCTTTTGCTCAGAATGTTCAAAGTCAAGGATATCTTCACAACCATCACCTTTGCAGCAGTGCCAGGAGCTTCTCCCAAAAGAAACAATCATCAAATTTTACCAGGTAAAACAATCCCACTTCTTTGCTTTCAACATCAAAACATATTTTATTTGGCATCCAGTGTGAAAATACCTAGATGCCATTTCATCAGAGAAATCCTAGGAAAAACTGCAACCTGAGTGTCTAAAGTCTGAGCTGTGAATTTCCAGTATTACTCAGATTCCCCAAGTCAGACGGCAGTAACTCATCACAAGCAGGCAGGCCCTGAATTCAGGAGAAAGAGCAGCCTAGAGAGAGTGAGCTAATCCACCGAGACACATCCTCTCTAAGGTAACTGGTGTAGATGAATGAACTGAGATTCAAACAAATTGAGTATTTCAACCAAGTCCTCTATATGCTGCTGGGTTGGCCCCACACACTGCTGAGTGTGGTCTGTGCCCGGCCTGTGCTGTCTCTGCTGTGGGTGAGCAGAGCGGGGGTCACCCTCATGGACCCCATGTCTCACACAGGCACTGGGCGCTATCTCCAGCCAGGTCTCTGCACACGAGGCTTTGCTCCAGGAAGAAGGAGGCTGATGATGAGGTCAGACAGGATATTCAGCCATCTCAAGGGGAAGGGATAGGGCCCCTCCCGAGCAGTGAATACAACTGTAAACTGTCTGTCTGGTCTACTTTTATATTCTTGGTTTCATTCCCTAGAATATGTTTTACGTTTGCCTAAATAAAATTAATGGCGATAGAATTTTGTCATGATACAAATTATCACCAAGGTATTAAAATGAGTCTCATTTCTTAATTTCTTAGTTCCCATCACTCAGTTAACTGGAAAACATTTACTATTAAGACAGTGGTGGTTTTGGTGATAGTGGTTGTCATATTTAGCAACCTAAGATTGTACAATTCTCTTCCAATGTTTTTCAGTCTTATGTTCACCTTGAAAAACTATTTATTAATATCCTCGATGATGCATGCAGCAATGCTCTGTAATATTTCTCACGCAGTAAAATGCAAAGTAAAGCAAGGACCTGAGGGAGAAGTTGGAAGATGTTGTTTTCAGAGGAGACTAAATTTGATGCCCCACATGTAACGCTAGGACGTCTTTAGGAATCCTCCACTCTTGGGGTTCAGAATTATCATCTTTTCGGTCTGAGTTCTGGGAGGAAGAAGCAGACTCAGCTACATGTGGGCATCAGTGAGGACGCAGCTCTGCGTGCCCTCACGGGCCCATGCAGGGGGTGGATGTGTCCCTCTCTGGACACAAAGCACAGAGGCTTAATCACAACACAACTCCTGCGTCCTTACACTGAGCAATTTAAACAAGCTCTGGCCGTGGCCCTGGCTGAGAAGGAAGCCCACAAACAACGCTGAGTTGTCAACCTGTTCTCCTACAATGACACCATTATTATGCAGTGAGGCCATAAAGCACGCAAGATGGAAAACAGCAAAACACTGAGGCTATACTTCAGGAGTTTTTCCATTTTTCTTTAATATCACCTCCAGCCCTTCCTACAGCTGAAGGCCTGCCTGGCCTCTAATTTCCAAGGAAGACAAGGGTTAAATAAAGACGACAACAGGCCAAGTTGTCATTCTGTTAAGTAACATAATTCAGGGTAGCCAATTTTCTTCCCAAACTGAAGAACACCACAAACACTGCTGGTAACGGGGCAGAACAGGTTTGGTTCCATAGAATGCACACATCACCCAGCAGGCTTTATCCTGTATCCTCTCTCAAGCCTCGTTAAGTACATCTGTGATGTTAAAAAATAGAAAGGTGTTGTTTGAGGTAAGACAGCAGCAAAGCTGACTGACCAAGGGCAAGTAAGGGAGTGGGTGAAGGAAAAACCAATGGGAATAGTGATGGATCAGTGTTTCCTTCACCCAGCGGCAGAGCCCAAGCTGTGAACTCAAAGGGGCTGGGATGTCCCGCCAGGGACAAAAGTGGCCCGCAGCCAGGTGACTGGTCTTCAGTTAGGTTCCTGGAGTCACAGTCAGAAACTCCCATGGAGTGGAAAACATTTAGATCCTGCTGGCTTATCGAACATACAAAAAGCCAAATGCCCTGGCTCAAATGATCATTATGTAATTCATGATTTTAAAACGAAAGATATTCTGAGAGATAAAAGTTAAAAACTTAGCTATTAACTTGCAAACTTCTGGAATATGTGTTGAAACACAAAGGATAAATATCACCCAGTTGAACTTGCAAATGTTTACAGAAGCTTAAAATAAATTCCAAAAATATTACACACACAAAAATACATCACAGAGAGACAGCAGGACAGCCAAAAAGTTCAAAGAACATGACAACAGCAGGATTATGACATCATAGTGAATAACAACTCATTTTGCATTTTATAATTCCCAACCAGTTAAATATCTGTCCCTGCACAGTGCACCATGACTGTACATGTTCCATCTGACAGCCCTCTCACTAAAGAAATCCAATTAAATCTAAGATATAAGTCAAAGCACTGATTTTTTTTATTACTTAGAGACCAAAAAATAAAAAATAAAAGATGTTGATTAACCTCAGATAACATGAATATCATCATTAGGTTAAATGGAACAACAAAACAAGTATCTATGTAATGAGCAAATAAATACAGAAAAAGAAAAAATAAACCCAAATAGCTAAAAATTCAAGCCCAGAATCTTACATATTCTGATTATTAAGAAAAATTTCAGTTCCTCTTCTGTGTTTATGCTTAGGTTTCGACATGGCTTCTGCCAACTATCAGACACTCATCTATTAAAAGGCTAACATTCTCCAGCTTTCCTGTACAGTCCTTTGTTCATTAGGGTTTTAATGTTTGTGCTCAAAAGCTACATATGTTTTGCTTTTGTTGCTCCGTAGGGCATTTTGTATCTGGACTCACTAAACAAAGGAAGTCAAACCTGGAAGACCCAGCAGCCGGGCAGGCTGGCCCTTACCTGCAGGCCTTCGATGGCCAAGCGCAGCATGCTGGGCGTGAGTTTGGAGGCTTGCTTGAAAGTGAAGTTGCTCCAGTCTATGATCAAAACAAACCCATTGACCTGAAGCTCAGGATCTTCGATCATGGCTTCTAAAGAAAGTAAGATGGCACGCAAGATATCCACCAGCGTGTACCTGCAGAAACAGAGAAGCGCTACATTAAACCTGGCAGTCACTTGTGTGGAGACCCTAGGAAGTTTTTTAGCATGCTAATGATCCCCTTTAAAATGCCTCAGAAATCTTATTTTATCTAAAAAGCTTCTTTTACTCACAAGCCCAAGTTCCCAAGTTCGATCCCCAGTACCAAAATAAAAAGCTTCTTTTATGAAGATGTTTTTGTTTCACTCAGGGGACATACTAGAATGTAGCATGGTCTGTTTTGAGCACATACAGACATTTTCTTGTCTAAGTAGTAAATTATAAAGACTACACACCATTTTAACTGTACTAGGTATAAGTAACCAGGTCATCTAAGGAGAAATGAGTACAGTGTACAGCAGGAATACATTCACTGCCTGCACACTCCATGCCACTTCACACAGAGCTCTGGACATCCACAGCATTTGGGGCAGGGGTGGAGCCGACATTCCGAGCACACCCAGGGCCAGCTCCATGTGAAAACTTGAGAATGAGGTTTGACAGTGTCATCAATAAATAAGAGCACCGGGGACAGTCCCATAGAAGTGTCAGCAGGCTTCGATGACCTCCACTGAGTTTGTCTCAGGAAGATGAAAGAAAAGATGAGAGGGCAGAAGGAGGGTGTGAGCAAATAGTGGCGATCTGTGACAATGCCAGCCATCCAAACTGCAGTACAACCTTTAGTTTTTCCTGTCTTGCACACAAGCACAATTCCTGACACATCCTTGAATCCCAGGAAGCACATCAGTTCCTACGAAATGGGACAAGACTACAGGCAAGGACACCCACTGTAGATTAAGACATTGGCTCCAGAAAGACAGCAGAAGAACAAACATAAGCCAAATTAGAGAGGTATTTTAGAAATAAACTCATTAAAAGTTGATGTGTGATTAGATGTGGGCACTAAAATCACTAGAAAGAATAAAGGATGACAAATAGGATCTAGCTTCTGAGCCCGAGGAAATGCAAAATCTTTCATCCAAATCAGTTGTGCATTACTCCAAAACTCTTCTGGAGATATGTAGAAATGCAGAATTTTGAAAACAGCCTGTTGTATTTGAGAAACATGTAATATACTCTGAAAAGCACATCAAGTAAATACTTAAAAAATAGATTCTAAATTCAGGAGAGAACTCAAGACTGAAAATTCTGGAATCAAAAGCATCCAGGCACTACAACCAAGGAGTGGAAGCATAATAATCAGAGCTAAAAGGATATCAGAGTTTTTCTGAAACAGGGTCTTGGATAGGGATGTAGCTCAGTGGTACCGCTGCCCACTTCGCAAGCATAAGGTCCTGAGTTCGATCCCTGGTACAATCAATCAATCAATCTTTCCTACAATCTGTGGGAAACAGCAGCACTTTAAAAGAAATCAACCAACTGATGGAGGGTGTTAACAATTTCAACTTTTGTACAGCCCATAATTTAAGATTTTTGTCTTAAAACATTCAGGTGGAGAAGCCCAGGACAAGCTACGAAGAGATCCGAACCACAAGGAGGGAGCGGGTGTGGAGAGGCTGGGTCAGGAGTGGAGCTCACTGCCGCGGGTGGAAGGGTCCAGCTCACCACAACAGCCAGTAGGCAGAGGGAAGAGTACCTGCGCGATGGAAAACGAATCCCGCCCACTATTCCTCCCAGCTCAAGGTGCATCGTTTTCCCACAAAGGAGTCCAGCTTTCCTAGTTTATGGCAGAGTAGTACTGCAGTGTGTACAGATCCACATTTGGCTGCGTCTGAGATCTAGCTATCATGAGTCGTGCTGCTGTAAACTCGGGTATGATAGATCCCTGTGATTTGATTAATGTCTTTAACTCTTTTAGGCACCACCTAGGTTGACTGGAGTTTCTAGTTTGACTTTTCTGAGGAATCTCCATACTGATCGCTATATCTAATATAGAGGACTGATATCTAGAATATTTAAAGAACTCGAAAAAGCATTGGACCCTCCCAAAATAAAAGATCAAATAAAAGATGGCGAATGAGCTGAACAGACACTTCTGGAAGAAGTAAGTACATGAAGTGCATGGAGAAACGCTACCTACATAAGTACGTGAAGAAATGTTCAACATCACTGGCAGTTAGAGAAGTGAAAATTAAAACAACACTGAGATTCCATCTGACTCAGAAAAATGGTCATCACCAAGAAATCAGATCACAGCAAACGCTGGTGAGGCTGAGGGGGAAAGGAACCCTTCCACACGGTTGGTGGACAAATTAAAACAACACTGAGATTCCATCTGACTCAGAAAAATGGTCATCACCAAGAATCAGATCACAGCAAACGCTGGTGAGGCTGAGGGGGAAAGGAACCCTTCCACACGGTTGGTGGAGGTGCAAACTAGTTCAAGCACTATGGTGATCAGTATGGAGATTCCTCAAAAACTAAAACGAAAAACTCCATTCCACCTAGTGAGTCCCACTCTAGGGATCTTCCTAAGGGAGTTAAAGACATCACATTACAGTGATCCATGCATACAGGTGCTCACAGCAGCACAACCGATAACGGCTAAATCATGGAAGGGGCCAACACTTAGGAGGCAGCGTCCTCACCACGCGGTGGTGTAAAGAAAATGTGGCATTGGTACCCAGCCATAAGCTAGGAAAACGGACCTGGGTGGTAAGGGAAATATAAATCAGATATGCGAGCTTAAATATCATACGGTTCTTCCGTATGAGGAATCCAAAATACACATAAATGGAAGACCGAAATAAATGAGGTAACGAGACAGGTCCTCCTTAGACAGGAAGAGGACCAAGAGCCAGAGGAAGAGGAGAAAGAAGAAAGAACATAGATGGACAGACTCCCAGCGAGGAGTGGAGTCATCATTTACAGCAAATGTGTATTAATAAGAAAAACTTTTAAAAAGAATTTAAATGGTACAAAACTGTACTATACTTAACAAGAGCAAATGTAAATAAATTGAGAGATTAAGAAAGCTGATAAAATTTAAATTTCAAGGACTAATATGTAGCGATATCTAGGGGGACAGAATAACACATTTTTCTGTTAAGATGCAACATCAAGTAAATAATTTTTAAATAAAAAATATTTAAAAAACAGAAACATTGAGAGGCCAACGGAAACACTTGTAGTTCAAAAGGGAAAGAACAATGAACAGTGGAGTTTCAAGTGACTTCTCCCCTTCTGAGGGCCTTGTCCTCCCCGCCCCCGTGGGTAAATCAGAATTCGGTACGGAATCCTCTTTAGGCATCTCGCGTTAACCAAGCACCGGGCGCAGCGGACTTCAGAACGGAGCCCCTGCCCTGGCCTTCATGAATCCTATGCCCTTGGAGATTAGAATTCAGAGGTTGGTTCCTCATCTAAAAGGGGCAGGAACTGCACCTCTCCCTCCCTTCCTCACAGGCGTAGGATGGCATAGGGTCACACAGCTAAAGAGATAATTCTAGGGAATTCATGTGCATAGCTCCAGGTACACAGCGAGGGTTCAGTGACTGTTAGTGGAAATACACAAGTAGCATAATTTTTGTTGTAATAATAGTCCTAAGTGTGGTGCACTAGGCAGGGTATAATCAGAACAGAAGAATGTTAATGATGATCTCAAGGATAGACGATCACCATCATAAAAGGTAAAAACCAAGAGGTTGTTTTTAACCATCTGGAGGGTGTATGGGCCTTTTTGTAGGCCTAGGATTTGGCATCCAAAAACATTCCGGAATATATAAAACTTTTTGGTGGAGCTTTATTATTTCTTGACATTAAATCTGTGAAAAATGCCTGGCTAGTATCACTAACATGGTTGGCCTACATTCATTGTAAATGTAACGTCCTAACACCATGACATGACCTGAAGCCCAAAAACCTACAAAGAAAGGAAGCTGGAACTGAAGGCCATATTTCTGGATAAAATCAGATGACTTCATTAAAACCACTGTACCATCTGAAATTGACAATAATATCATGGTAAGAAAATTAAAAATCAGAAAACTCCAACTAAGAATGTTCCCTCATTGCAAGGATTATTTATTCTTATGTTATCCAAAAGAAGATCAAGTAGCACTAATATCAAAATACCATTAAAAAACTTGAATCTGAAACCAGCTGTAAGAGGATGATACATTTATATAAAGTGCAAATCAATCAACCAGCAGTAAAGGCTGAAAACAAGAGATGGTTTGTTCTAAGGAATATCCTTGAAGTATGTCTCCCCTACACACTGTCAAAATCAAGAGAAAAAATTCTGCATAGTCTGTTGTTCCAAAGCAAGCAAAATAAAGCAAGTCCCAGGATTGGCAGGGAAAGAAAGCAGTTTTACAGTTTTCAAGGGTAAATCTAATAAATTTTAAAAATGTGTTATCTTCCTCTAAGAAGAGAACTCAACGATCTTTAGACAAATCATACTAATTTATACATGTGAGAAAAGAAACACAAAAAGCATCCTGGTGAACAGCACCAAAAAGGCAGGTCAGCATCACTCTGGACGTAGCCGGCCCTGTGTTGTCAAACACGGTGCATTATTGCCATTAGCAGCTCGGCAGGCTGTCTGTCAGAAGAATATTATCACATCGGCTCTTGCCAAGGCCTGGAAAACATCCTCCAAAGACATGTAGCATCTATGAATTTATCTCTTTGGGAATCTTCTCTTCATTCTCCTCTTTCAAATTTGTCTAACTTGTAGCTTACACTATAGTGCGGTATTTCACATGTTTATGTGTGGGACTGATATCCAAAGAGCACCAGCTCCACCAGGGATATTCTTCCCTCTTGTACTGGAAGAGAGCATTTAATAAAAACCAGCACACCACTGCTGACTGTGCTTCCCAAAATAGCCGTTGCTAAAACTTGAATTTGAGAGAGAGAGAGAGAGAATGAGGCACCGCGTGTAGTTCGATGAAATCATGACATTAACAAGAAATTTTGCAGCTGGCATCAGACTGCTGCAGACCACTGCTCTTGGGAAAAAAATCAAAGCTACTATTAAAGAAACACATGGAAAAGACACTGCCACCCTAGCACACCTCTTTATTCACTATGTGATA